CTTGACATGTTAGCATAGAACAATAGACCATTGAGTGTACCCACTGATACTGTTAAATTGAGAGCAATCAGTAGAACCACAAGTAGTACACCCATCACTGCAAACAGAGCAATCCAAGCTATCATCATGTAATTATCATAACACTGTCCACACTTGTTTGATCCCATTAGTAGACTGTATCCCTCTGTACATGATCCACACATTCTGTGTCCTCCTCTATTATCCACACATTGAGTATCAGTGTCATTCAATTTGAAGGTAACAGGATCAGGAGAACAATAGAGGAGACAATCCTCATTGATAATGCATGCATTAGGATTGGTTGCATTAGCACTGAAAGGTGTACTGGTATCATATGTTCCAATCCACAGTAGACCATTGTGTGTAATATTTAGACTAGTTATATTACATGTTACATTCTCTCTTGAAACACTTTGACTGCAAGCACAGATAGATCTACCTTTTGAGCTAATGACACTAAAACCAATAGGACACTCATTAACAATATAATCCCAATAAATGGAATAGAATGTTTCAGTACGAAATAGCATGGTATGTATTACATGACTGGGAGGATGGTTTGGTTTGTATTCAACCAGTGAACAATTAGTATTAGGCTTAGGTCTAGCATATACATAATTGACTGTATGAGCACTGTCTGGAGTGAGTCCATCTCGTATTTCTAATATACCATCAGTGACATTTAGTGATCCAAAGTAATCATAACCAAACAAAGCCATATGAAATTTTAATGCTTGACCTGGAAAAATCTGTTTATAGCCTGGGTTTTTATTAACAGTGCAAAAATGTATTTTCTGTACATCACCTGTTGAGCTAATGTTTGGATTCATCAAGTTGAACTGATTGTTTCCATGATTAGTAGTATATCCATATATATCATCACCAAATATTCCAGCACTATTATTTATTAATGTAAGAGGTATATTTGATCCCTCTAATATTATGCCACTACTTGATGTCTCTTCAACATAGATCCCTCCACCTTTATAAGAAGCATGGTTATCAATAAACTCCAAGTTAGCTGATGATGTTAGTATTATTTGTGATGAGTCATTTATTGCTAATCCTCCTCCAACTACTCCAGTATTGTGTTTAAATGTTAGTTTATTCTCAATTGTTACCAATGATATGCTAAGTGTCAATCCTGTTGAAGTACCATTAGCAACAGTAACATTATTGAGACTAATAGCATTACTGTTCAGAATCTTATTTCCTCCATTTCCAATAATTTCAGTATCTGCTATATTGATTTGGACTGATGTCAAGAATTTTTCATCAATAGATAAGCCTGTAATTGTGTTGTTAGCTATCAAACACGACTTGATAATAATAATAAAGTGATTGCTAAGTGTTCTAGGTAAGTGTGGATCTTTTAATATCATAATTCCATACCAATTATCACAAAATTGACTGTCCTCAATTAAAAAAGTAGAAACTAATTGAACACCAGGAAATTTGCACTCAACTGATTTAATGTTTTTCCTAAATTCAATAGTAAAGGGGTAAACACCATAAAGTAGTGAACGAAATGATGAGTTTTTAATATCAAAAGAACAAAGGCTATCACCTAAAATAAGTTTAGAGTTACTATAAAGTATATTGTTATAGTTATGAAAGATGGCTGACAGATTGTATGAAGCACCATGATAAGTAAATAATATCATCCAACTGTGCTTCAATGTAACATTAATCAGTATTAGTGAGTAGTGAGGTAGTTCAGTGCTACATACTGGAAGAGGCTCATACGTAATATCTACACCATAATAATAAAAAACTGAGGATGATACCTTAACATCAAAAGCATTGTTTAATTTTATTGTATTGACAGGCCCTTCTGGTTCATGAAATAAAGAGTTAGTTATTGTAATATTGTTGGATGATTTAGCAATGACTCCAAGATTATAAACTGACATGTTAGAAATAATGACATGACTGCTGTTATAGATGACAATAGACCTTTCATTACTCCTGCTACTAATAAGACAAGACTGATCCAGTCCATGCAGAGTAACATTCCTTACTGCAGTCATGTTGACATCATCATTAATTTCACTGGTTCCAATGAAGTAGAAGATGCTGTTATTGTATTGAGACATATCCCCAGCATACACTGATAAAGGATGACAAGGATTATAAGTAACTGAACTGCAGTCATCAGACACATAATACTGACCAGAGGAGACACTGCAGGAGCTACTGAAGAATAAGAGAACAGCCACTAACAGGAGAGACATAGCTACTGTCTGTACTGACTGACTAGTCCATTCACTCAGTATATATAAGCATGGACTTGTGGGAGGCATTGCTCATGATTATACATGATTTCACTCACTGGAGTATAGTGTTAATGATTTCAGACTTATCAGTGAATGTTATTGTATCAACAAAATTTTTCTTGGGATATACTCTTTTCCCAGGCTTGACCCATTATCTCATGTCAATATTGTTATGAGTGCTAATGTGGGCTACTCATCATGAAAGGTAGTTCAATTATCCAGGAAGGCAATGTTAGTATTCTTAAATTAAGATAGATAAAAGTCTTATCGCTGCCTCTTCCTCTACTATAGTAAGCGTTTATGTCCATAGCATCAGATTTTATAGGGATAACATGCAAAAATAGTCTTGCACAGCCAGATCATTCTCTAGCCTACGTGACTGTATAGGCTGGAGAATGATCGGACTAAGTGAGACTAATGTAGATCTATAAGCACTAAATTAAATAAATAATATCAACTGATACTAGATAAATAAAAGTATGTGGCAGCAAAAACTGCTAAAGGCTCTGATTAAAACAAATCAACAACTGATTCACGTCTAACATCAGCAGAACTTGGTACCATGGCTCTTTTTTGTTGATCAACAGTTACTTGTGTAGTACAATAACAATAGTACAGACTAGTTTAGTATAGGAGAGAAAAGTAAGTGTAGATAGAACAGGAACAGCATGAGACCCCATCAGTCTTGATATCTTACCATATCTCCTACACAATTGTATAATGATAATGATAATGATCCACAGGTAGATAGGGAAAGCAAACTGAAGCCATTGTTTAGCATAACTGTCCATACTATTGTAAAAACATTTCTCAAACCCAAAGTCTAATTTAATTCATGATAGCACTTGACTCAAGGCTGGTGATGCCCCTTTCCTTGAAAAGGTTTGCTCATATAACTTGACAATGTTAGCATAGAACAATAGACCATTGAGTGTACCCACTGATACTGTTAAATTGAGAGCGATCAGTAGAACCACAAGTAGTACACCCATCACTGCAAACAGAGCAATCCAAGTTATCATCATGTAAATATCATGACACTGTCCACACTTGTTTGATCCCATTAGTAGACTGTATCCCTCTGTACATGATACACACATTCTGTCTTCTCTATTATCCACACATTGAATATCAGTGTCATTCAACTTGAAGGTAACAGGATTAGGAGAACAATAGAGGAGACAGTCCTCATTGATAATGCATTCATTAGGATTGGTTGCATTAGCATTGAAAGGTGTACTGGTATCATATGTTCCAATCCACAGTAGACCATTGTGTGTGATGTTTAGACTATTTATATCACATGTCAAATTTTCTCTTGAAACACATTGACTGCAAGTACAGGAACCTTGTGACTGGCTAGGTTTGGCTAGGCGAAAAATATTC